CTATTGACTATTTCCCTAATCAATTCTTTTAAACTATAATTTGAAGAAGTTTGAGAAATAAATGTTATTTTACTCTCTTCATATTCCCTTAGTAAATCTGAAAATCTACCAGTCAATTTATGGGCATAAATTAATCTAATATCTGGGGTTTGTTGCAGGTCATGTTGATAGGCTGCAGTCTCTACCGTCAGATTAGATATATGAAAAGGGAAGAATACCAAGGATTGTATATCTATTACAGTCAAGAATAGAGTGTAGCAGGAGGGGGAACTGGGTGATAATGGACTTCAGTCATTTCTGGATCTGGTTTAAATGGCTTTCTTCCTCACCAGAGTAGAGGGCAGAGCAAGAAGATGAGGGTTCTCACTCTGGGTACTCATCTCCTTAACTTTGCACCCTAAGCACCTCCCTCACCTCACCTTGACCCAGCCTTGACCCTTGACTCTTGACATAGTATAGTTGAACTTTGTCCCCTATAACGTAGCATTGCACAAGCTGAACTAAATTGCCTCTCTTAAAAAGAAATCATAACAACATTTTGGAAGATTCACTTTTCTTGCTTTTGAGTTATGTTTAACCTCATTCCACAAAAAGTTGAGACTACTATTTTTTAAAATTTTCCTACCACAAAGTTTTTCTAACCCCCTTCCATAGTACGTGGCTTGTACAGAACCTTTTTTTATTTCCTGATTTGCAAGGTTTCTGATTCACATTTTTAATAACATTAATCAGGTATCCATCAGTTCAGGGACAAGTACACTTTCCAGACTTCCAATTCTAGTGGACCAGCTTTTGGCCATTGGTATTACCTGGGGTTTCCACCATTCCCCCCACCCAGTGACTTCAGTGACAGGATGCTTACACATTATACTTTTCTTTAAAGTATTTCCATACACACATTAGAATGTACCTGTATGCATGTGATTTCATTTTGGTAGACTTTATTTTTAGAACAGTTTTAGTTGACAGCAAAATTGAGCATAAAGTGCAGAATTCCCATGTACTCCCATCCCCATGCACAGCCTCCCCCACTATGAACATCAGAATTGTTATCGAAATGTAAATTCTGTGTTTTGTTTAAGATTCATCAACTTTAAAACCATTCTTTTGATGGTGTTATTACTCATATGAACAGCATAAGTACCAAAGATTATTAGGATCTTTAAAATGTGGTTTCTTTAAAAATGTGTGTGTGTGTGTTACTTTTTCTATAATCAGAGCCTTACATTTCTATAACACTGTCATATTTCCTGCCAGTAGAAATATTTTTGGTTCTTGAAATTAAATATACTAGTGATCAGAATAGTAGCTGGCCCATCAAAGGCAGTTGATGTTGAGTCTTATGTTCTAATACTTGCGACTTTAGAGGCTTTAGTGCACGCAGGGCTATATCTTCTTCCTTCTGGGGTAGGGTTAAGCTCGCCAAGACATCAAGAAGGCAGAGAGCCTTTGGAAGGACTGCCAGAGAAGACAGGTCTCCTTTGGGGAAGTGATGGTTTCATCAGCATGCCACCCTGGTTACATACAGCCTCAGTCAGTAAGTCTAATTTTAGGAGGTGCAAGACAAAAATACAGTGGAGAGGAGTGAACTAAAAATAGGCCCCCTTTCCCTGTTACCATCCACTTACTCAGAGGTTTGGCATGTTCCCAGGAAGCCAAGTTCTCTCCCTGCTATAGTGGGCATGCAGACATCCCATGGTTATGGAGAACAGTGAAAGCCCCATCCTGAATCACTACAGATGTCTCGACCTTCAGTTTTCTTCTACTCTCCTCCAGAATTGCTGGATCCATTTGAACAGCTGCTTCTGTATTTTCCAGGGAGGGTTTGCACCAGCCCTATTTTATTAAAAATATACCAGGGGTGCCATTGATGTGAGTGTGTTGTATGAGTCACACTCCTGCCATTCTCAGGGGGAAAATTTGTTTTTACTTTTAATTTGCACTCTACTTTTAATATTGAAGAATGAGTTTCATTTTAGTCAGTTTTTAAGGGCTTAATATGTACAAGACATTGTGCTGAGTACTGGAAGGATGGATTGAGACATCATTTCTATTTCATGGAGCCTACTTGGGGGAGCCAGATGCATCTCAAGATGGGAAATAGATGTTCTCTGCAGCTGCACAGAATCACTTGGGGGGCTGCCTTTGGAGAAATATCTTATTAAAAGCTGCAGAAGGGAACAGTTGTGACCTGGCTAGAGCAGGCAACAATAAGGACAGCTTATCTGCACCTCCTGAGGCAAGGGCAAGAATTGGCTCTATGTACGTGAGAGGTGACAATAGTGAAGAAGCGAATAAGAGAGAGGAGTCCCAACACTGGTTTGAAGATGGTGATTGAGAGGATGCTGGGCCAGATGAAATTTTCCTGTGTTGGGATGATGGTCAAATGTTATTTGAGGGTCAGGGATGCCCCTCACTCAATGGGAAATTGTTATTGATGCCTGAGATAGAAAGCTTTTCTCTTCTCCACCCATATAGCAGTAAATCTGCTGTTTCATGTGGATTTTTTGCAGGGGGAGGTGTTTCATTTGTTTGATATGGTGAGGGAGTATCACTGACAGTTCAGGCCATGTTTGTGAGACCACAAGGAGTAGAACAAAGATAGCTGTTTGAAAGTAGGAACCTGGAACCAAACATAACCTCGGAACAT